GCCCATGAGCCATGGCCGCTGAGCCTGCGCGTCCGGAGCCTGTGCTCCGCAACGGGAGATGCCCCAACAGTGAGAGGCCCGCGTACCACAAAAAAAAGAAAAAAAAAAAAGAAAAAAAGAAAAAAGCCAACCCACCCCTGTGCTGCCGCTTCACCAGTCCAGCCTCCCTCCAAGGTTGGTGGGTGCCCTGTGTTTCTGTTTTCCAGAGGGTTCTCTGCTCTGAGGCCACTGCAGCCTGGGTTCCAATCCTGACTCTGCCACATCCTACCTGAGTGACCTTGGAGAAATGACTTTTGCTCTCTGAGCCTCAGTCTCCTCACCTGTAAAATAGGGGTAAGGTCGTCATAAGGATTCAGCGAGATGAGGCAGGTGGAGGACTTAGGAAGTTGTAACCCCCCGCACCCCCCCCCAACCCAAGTCATGAGTCGAACGTCAGTTCCGTGGAGAGGCTGGTCTCTGAAAGGTCAGGAATGATAGACAGAAATCGAGGGGTAAAAAAAGAGATGATACGGATTCTATACAAACCCCTTCAGAAAAATAGAAGAGGCCAGCTTTACCCTGACAACCGAAGTGGACACAGACAAATCGAGGAAACAACACAAACATCCCCCATGGATAGAGAGGCAAAGATCCTTAACAAAATCTTTATCCAATGCAAAGCAGTGATATTTAGAAAAGGCAGTGCATCTTGACCACTTGGGGTTTACCCCAGGTATGCAGAACAGGCTTACCATTGAGAACCAAATATTATAATTCACCGTAAAAAAGTGGGAGTGGCTGTTGGCTTCGATCACCAAAGCGCATTAACTATGTCTGAGGGAGCACACACACTCCGCGTCTCCGGTTCCATCACTGGGGCCCTCTCGGCTGTCACCCCACCTCCCGCCGCCTGCCCGCCTCCGCTCAGGGTCTCTCCAGGAACGGGTGTGACGGCGAGTTCCTCCCTCCCTCCCCGGCTCTGCTCTTGAGGGCTCCCCCAGGGGGTCCGTCCAGGATGGCAGGGTGGACCCTGTGCCAGGTGCCCAGGTAGGGAGTATCCCTGAGTCATACATGACCCTACAGGGACCACTGTCATCCCTGTCTGACAGATTAGGACACCAGGCTTGGAGAGGGCATGTGACTGCTGTGTCAGTGCTGGCGCTGAGCCCAGGGCTCCAGCACCTGGTGTTGCTGACACCTCACAGGACAGGATGCCAACCGCCTCTCCAGGGAGACTTTTCTCCTAATCGGTTGTTAGGCACTTGAATTCCACTGCCCACCCTGAGCTTAGGGAGTCTGCTGAGAGCTCTCCATTCTTCAGAAACCCCCTCCTCATCTTAAAGGCTCCAGAGACCACCATCCACCTCTGCAGAGACAGAGGCCCTGGGGACCCGCTGGGGATGTGGGCCTTGGAGGGCAGCAGCCCATCCCCAGACCAAAGCTGGAGCCGGATTCGCCCTGGATGACGGGTTCCCGGATTCCCGAGGGTCACCCCTCCTGCTCAGCATCTCATGGATGTGCCACCCAGGAGCATCTATGGGAAGGGGCAGAATGTATTTTGAAGACTCTGCAACCAGCCAGTGTTCAAGGTTGGAGGTTGGGGGGTTTTCATTGTGGTGGCCCAGCCGGGTCTGGCATCCCCGAGCTCCTTTAGGGAAAAGACAAGGTGCAGATCTCCCGCACCCCCAGCAGGGCTGGATGCAAAGGAGGCTCCAGAGAGGAGCCTTGGGAGGGCAAGCAGGGGCAGCTTGGGTCCTACCTGCAGGGGCATCGGTCTTGGGGGACCATGACCCCTGAGGGTGTGGGATCTGCAGTGGGAGGGGAAGGTATTCAGGCCTGAGGGCTGGGCCTGCGGAGGGCTCTGGGCCCAGGAGATCCGATGCCCTTCATCGTCAGCAGCAGCTGGACCCTCGGATGGGACGGCGCTATACCCCTGTCCTGTCCCAGTGGGGTGGCTGGGAGAGGGAGTTGTCTTTCCCCCAAAAGGATCCTGCGTGTTGTGGGTTGAATTGTGTCCCCGCAAAAGATGTTGGAGTCCTCACTCCCAGTATCTATGGACGTGACCTTGTTTGGAAAGGTCCTTTGCAGATGTGATTAAGATGTTAAGATGAGGTCATTCTGAATAGGGTGGGCCCTAATCCAACAGGACTGCTGTCATTATAAGAAGAGAAGACGGGGACATCCCTGGTGGTCGAGTGGTTAAGACTCCGTGCTCCCAGTGCAGGGGGCACGGGTTCGATCCCTGGTTGGGGAACTAAGATCTCACATGCCGCACTGTGTAGGCAAAAAAAAAAAAGAGGAGGAGACAGACACAGACGCAGGCAGAATGCCCTGTGATGACAGAGGCAGAGGTTGGAGTGACGTGGCCACAGCCCGGATTGCCGGCCACCACCAGAAGCTGGATGAGGCGGGGAAGGATTCTACCCAGAGTCTCAGAGGCAGCGTGGCCCTGCAGACACCTTGAATTTGGACTTCTAACCTCCAGAACTGAGACAGAACACATTTCTGTTGTTTTAAGCCACGCGGTAGGCTGCGGTTACTCCTTATGGTAGACAGGAAACGAATCCACCCTCTGTCGGCGCTAATGTCTACCTCACACTGAGTCCACTTGTCCTGGTAGCGACCACTGCCTTGGGGGCAGGGTCTGGGTCAGCGGGGAGTGAGAGCATCTTGGCCCCCAGGGGAGAGCCCCTCAGCACCACAGTGAGGGCTTTCCAAACAGATCACGGCCCAGGCCCTGGGCAGGGTGGCCAATGCAGGGCCCGGGGATGGAGGGAGCCCCAGCAGGCCTTCTCAGGGAGAAGGGACCAGGCAGCCCGGAAAAGCCTAGGAGCCCATTGCCCCCTGACCACCTGACACCTTGGCCTGACTGGGGGTAAAGAAATCACTCCCCACCCCCATGTTAACAGGGACTCTCCCACCTGTAATCTTGCAACAAACGAGGAAAAAAAACACACAGGAGAGGGCCTGTTTGCACATCATCTGTATTGTCACATGAAGTGCACGTCCAGAACGGCTGACTTGGAAACGACCTATTAGGTCACACGGAGTCCGGCCCCTGGGGGCCAAAGCGGCACCGATGCCCGTGGGCCCTGGGCTTTCCACAGGCGGTGGCACAGACACCTGGTCTCCCCGGGCTCTGGGGCCCAGCGCTGGGAGAGGCCAGCTCACACCTCAGGCCCTTCCGCTCCTGGGCTGCATCTCCCAAAATGCGTCTGGGGAAATGAGGTTCCCTGGGAGGGTTAATAGCTGTTCCTCGAGAGAAGGGTTCTGTAGTCAGATAAGTTTAGGAAACATGGATTAAACAAGATTCCATGAAAGCTCCTTCTATAGGACTTTGCCGTTACGACAATCCCAGCCCTCGTGAATGTCCAACAGAGCGTGTAGCATTTCCCAAAGTTATTTGACCACAAGACCATTTCTCTTCCCAACGTGTCTTGTAGGCTGGTGTCTGGTGGGCCATCCTTTGGAAAGCGCTGCCCTAAGCTATCGATGACCATTAATGGCAATGGCACCTGTGTTGGGTGGTGGGTTGTGGGCATTTCGCTGGGCGGTGTGCTGTGGTCAGGTGGGCACAGCCTGGAACTCAACAGTCGTGATGGTGAAAAGGACGAGATGAGAGTCGGCCCCTCTCCCGCCATCCCGGTTCTCACCTGGTACCTCCAGAGCAGAAGCGGAGCAGGGCTATCCCCACGGCTGGGCCCCAGCCCGTCCACAGAGGGACTCAGGGTCTGATTGAAGGAGCAGGGGGCACCCAGCATGATGAGAGGGACGTGCCAGTCACTGGTGGGCCCACCTGAGGTCACCAGCCTCCACCAGCCCATGGGGAGATGGGCTGGGGCTGCCTGGTCCCCCCTCCCCTGCCAGCCCTATGTCCTCCTGCTGCCCCTCGGGCCACCCCCGGCCCCGGAGCCGCAGATGAACGGCTCACCAGGCGGAGATGAGCATCTGGCAGGTGTTGGAGGACATCCAGACCAGTTCGACCAGGCGGAACTGGAAGTAGCCAATGACGAAGCCGGAGAGGACATCGGTGATGTGGTGGCGGCCGATCATGACCCGAGACAGGCCCACACAGAGGGCCCAGAGCACCAGCAAGACGCGCAGAGGCACCGCCAGCACCAGGTGGCTGAGGAAGAACTTGGATACCATGGCCGCGCGGCTGGCGTGCCCGGCGGGGAAGGCGTAGATATCCATGGTGACGTAGTCCAGGAGGCTGGGGCTCGTCTCAAACGGGCCACGCCGCTTGATGAGCTTCTGCACGCCAGCCACTGTCATGATGTCCAGGAGCAGGGCTGTGGGCAAGAGAGAGAGGCCCCGAAGGCCGTCAGTGCCGCCCCCCGCGTGCTCTCCCCCCACTGCGCCCTGGCTTCCTTCACTTGAACCACGCGGGCCTCCGAGCAGGTTCCCACCTCAGGGCCTTTGCTTGTGCTGTTCCCTCTACCTGGAAGGCCCTTCCCTGGGATATCCGGACAGATAAAAGTGCTGAATGAGAGAGTGGCGATCAGGGGTTTTGGGGGCCACTGTGGCCCCGTCGGAGGATCTCATCCTGACAAATGGGGCCCTGGGCTGCTGGCTTTTCTCAAAGGACTTCACTGAAGCCCCCGCCAGTCCCGAGAACAGGGTGTTACCATCGCCATCTTTTTTAAGTTGAACTGAAATTCACGTAACACACAATTAACTATTTTTAAGTGTACAGTTCGGCGGCATTTAGTATGTTCACAATGTTGTGCAACCATCACCTCTATAGAGCTCCAAAAAGAAACCCAGTTCCCATCAAGCAGTTGGTCCCTGTCCTCCCTTCACCCAGCCCCTGGCAACCACCAGTCTGCTTTCTGTTTCTATGGATTCGCCTATTCTAGACGTTTCATGTAAGTGGAATCATACAATACGTGACCTTTTGCGTCAGGCTTCTTTCACGTACCGTAATGTTCTTGAGGCCCATCTATGTTGTAGCAGGTATCAAAACTTCATTCCTTTTTTTATGGCTGACTATTATTCCATGTCTGGACCTGCCACAATTTGTTTATCCATTCACTGCTGATGGAATCTGGGTTGTCTGTATATTTTGGCTGCTGTGAATAATGCTGCTATGAACATTTGTGTACGAGTATTTGTGGAGAACCCGTTTTCCGTTCTTTCGGGCACATCCCTACGGGTGGAATTGTTCCATCATGTGTTAACTATGTATAATTTGTTTTTTCTTTTGGCTGCGCCTCGTGGCTTGCAGGATCTCAGCTCCCTGACCAGGAAATAATTGAATCCGGGCCCTCAGCCGTGAAAGCTACATGTCTTAACCACTGGACCGCCAGGGAATTCCCTATGTAAAGTTTTTTGAGGAGCCACCAAACCGTTTTCCATGGCAGCTGTACCATATTGTCCTCATTTTACAGAAGACGAGACGAAGCCCTGGAGGTTGGAGCACCCCTGCCTGCTCCTCCTTCTTTCTGGATGTTTCCCTTTCCCTCCCTCTGACTTCTCCAGCATTGCCAGGCCTCAGCCTAAACGTCACACCCCCAGCGAGGCCTTCCCTGCCCTCCAGACGACCCACGCTCTCCTCACGGCACGTACCCAGCCGCAACTAAGGAACCCGCTGGGTGGTCAGACGTTTGGGGTCAACCCCTCACTTCCTCCCCACCACCATCAGTTCACAGAAGGGGGGTCAAGCCAAATCTATTCTGTTCGTAGGCGTATGCCCAGGGCCAGACACAGTACGGCAGTCTCCAAATGTTAGCTGAGTCGCTGGCCTGGGGTGTGGAGCCAGACGGGCGGGCTCCTTTCCCATTTGGGGAGCTTGGGGGAGACCTGGATCTCTGTCCATCCTGTTCACCCCCCCCCCCCCT